GATTTTTTCATAGTTTTTCATAATTTTGTGTTTCTACTCATATTACAAACATTGTACTGAGAGTATTCAAAACTATATCAGATTCTTTCTCTCACCTTTTTACTTTAAATGATTACACTTTCAGATATATCATTCAGTTAAAATCGAATGGCTACTAATAGTAGTATTACTAGAACGGCCGCTGCTGCTGGTAGTAATAATACACAAACACAGGCTGATAGTGGACATCTGTCATGGAGTAGACCTTATCCACCTACAAATCGTACTGGAGTCGTTCATGAACATGATAAGCCTTATTTTAAATATGGGCATTTATGTATATCTTCAAACCGAAAGTCTAGAACTTTTCTAATTTAATTTCTTTTCGCTGATTTTCTATGTGGATAGATAGAACAACTATAGCTAAAATGGAAAACTTTCGTTTACCAAAGCAACATCAGGTGTACGATGAAAATAATGACAAACTCGAGTATCGCAAACTTAATTGTCATAAAATCGCTCTATCTGGTTTCACTAATGTTTCAAGTAAGAGTTTGTTGTAAACAATTATTTATAACTTTTATTCGCCTATCGGCCAAACTAGATAGTGATTGCTCTCACATCAGAATGATTTATACTTAGAAATATTATGCATATCAAAGTCTGCAACTATTCTGAAATTCTTGAGTAATTATCAATAATCTCAGATTTGCTCGAAAGCTTAGAAAGATATATACATATATTTATTGTCGTTGTGCGTCTTAAGAAATCAATTAATAATATTGATAGCATATGAAAAACTGAATACGATTGACTCAAGACATACTTCTAGATTTGGATCTAATTCCTACTTAACTTTGAAAGTATGAGCGTTTTCTCGAAAATATTTCTATTATTTGATGTTTTCTGGTGGTGGGTATTTGTGATAGGATATACAAACTTGACTTTAAGAAATTCTACAAAAATCGATTCTGAAAATCGAGTTCGTTCATGTCAACATATGATTAATATTTAATAGTCTTTGCCTACAGTATCGATTAGATATAACTATGAAAATAGAAAAAGGAAACTCAAATTCTGTTACTCTAGTTTGGTCGATATGATCTTATAGGAGAATCTTCATTTCATATAATCATATTTTATCTAGACAAAGAAGCGTTTGATCATATATTTACAATTTTCAAACCAAGACTCTATCGATACGTCTGTGTTTCGAATGAAATTGTTCAGAATCAAAGCATGCCCCGTTTGAATATGCAAATTCTTTTGTGGGAGAAAACATCAAAATGTACAGGTTTTATGGACAAATTTCTAGGTCTGTGGTTCATATTTGAGTTGATATATGAGATAGATATTGAATTTGAATAATTTCTATTCAACAGATACAAAATGTGAATATAGAGTGACTCCAATTGCTGACGCATGGAATGAATATCTCAAGAAAGGTTAGAATCATGCTTCCAAAATAGATGACTATCATACACTTCTAAATGACATGTCTACCTAAAAGAAAATGTTCTATTTGTCGTGTAGGTCTCGATTTTATCGAAGATGGATTATTCCAGGTTTCTGCCAAAATGGGTGCCACAAAGATGTGGTCCGAATCACGACAAAAACGTAGGAAACAATGCTTAGTTAACAAAGTCATAGTATAAACATATTTTTCAGAAAACTCCGATGTTGTAACTCATGAATTAGCCTCAGAAGCTTGGGAATTAACTAAGACAAGTACTTTTGAAGCTGTAGATCATCTAGTAAAAAAGGCACCAGTAAAATCTCTTAGTAGTTTACGAAGGTACATAGGCTTCAAAAACGACAAAACTTAATTGACTTTATTGCTTAAATGACATAGAACAGGAATTAGACAAATAGGTTTGATCTATTTATTGTCTCTTTTATATAGTTATGCTTCAAATCTTAATTTTTATCAAAACGAATTACGATTTCAAGAACATGTAACACAGGCTCAACAAAAGGAATTTCTTTGGCCGGTCTCCTTCCCGGATTGTACTAAAAAATTAAGTAAGAAGTACTGCCTCATGCTTTCATTCAATCCTAACTTATTTACATTTTTTCTACCCATGACACAACAGAAAATGGAATGAATGAATGGATATGTAAACATTTTCGAAAAGGAGGTAGACCTAAATGTCTTTTTCTAATTGGTCGCACTCTTACCGGTATGTCAAGCGGATTTTAGCACATAATCTTTTTTTAATGAATATTGCATGGTTTCTAACTTGAAAATATCTTTAATTATTACAGGAAAAACTTCGTTTGCACTATCTCTACCGGGAATTCCGAATCATTATGTTGAGAATTGGACAAGAACCGATTGGAATGATGATGCAGACTACATCATTATAGACGATGTACCTTGGAAAACATTCGAGATAAAAGGTTTCCCGAATCCGAGACGTCTTCTCACAGGTCAAAAATTCATCCACGTGAGTGACTAGCTTATAAATGACACATTTTGACTAAAGACTGATAATATTCCTAACATTTATTAGGCGAAAGATAAACATCGTAACAACAAAAAGATAACAACTGCAATGCCGGCTATAGTATTGATGAATCCTAGTGACGCAACTGATTTTTTAGAAATGTTGAAAAAGAATGATGATGATGCATATTTTTGGAAACAACACGCTTTTGTCTATGTTATGGGTAAAATAAACGCTTTCATAATACCGACAAACCCGTTTATAAAATTTTCACGCACTAAAACTTTCCTTTCTCCATAACTTCAGGGCCAGACGAATATTTTTACAAAAGGGAACCAGAGAGAGCTTCTAAACGGCATATTACCTATAGTGTTGATCATATACCATTGTTTCGAGATGCTCGTGAACAATGGGAGGCTTCAGAGCAAGAACAACAGGCCAAGAAGTTTCGTATGGCGGAATCAGCAGGTGATAGTGATTGTGCCTCTGTAACAACGCCATCTTTTCCAACCGAACCCAATATTGCCATGAATCAACAGCAACAAGAATTAGCCGGTCAATCAGTAGATAATGCAAGTGTCTACTCCGAAGAATACGAATTTCACCATTGATTTAACAATACTTGAACTATTACATATAATACACACAGTATCATTTTCTGCTTTTGCATGTTTTTATTCTTTTTCTCATCTGCTCACCATTGTCGTATAATTCAGCAAATCGTTTTGAGAAGTACATTTAAAGCATTTTAATCAACTGAATTTTAAGAATTACAGTATTCTTTCAATGAAATCATAACACTTTATTCTATTCTATACCAAATTAAATATTGTCTACAAATCAATGACAATGTTTCCTACGACTTCCAACAGTCCACTCTAAGAGAATAACCAGATATTAGGCATTTTATAAAACCTTAGCATATAAAGACAATACACCATGACTGTGAGCTAAAAATAGTCGTTGATTACATTTCAATATATCAAACGTCAATCCCCACACGCTCCATATGATATCACTCGATAAAAGGTTCAAAAGTCTTACCAATGATCCTCGGAATTGAGAACGTGAAACGATTGTTATTATTCAAATAACACTTTACAACTTCATGAAAACTGAATATAATCTTATGTGTTCCATGTGAATCAAAATGGTATGACATTCTGAGCCGTCACGGTAGGTACACACTGCTTATATATAAAGATTCCCAGAAATACTAAACAGATATTCTAAAAGTAACCTAAACTTCACATAGCAGCTGCGAAGCGGTACCTATATCAAACAGAACGGTGTTATAAAATATTGGAGGTGTGGAGGTGTAGAGGTACAGAGCTGTAGATATGGAGTGGTACAGAGTTATTAGAACTTGCAAGTGAAGAGGCGAGGAGGTGTGGAGGTGCAGAACTGTACATGTAGAATGGTATAGAGTTACTACAACTTGCAAGCACGGAGGTGTGGAGGTGTAGAGGTGTGGAGGTGCAGAGGTGCAGACCAGTAAATGTGACATGACATACATTTATCAGATCCTGAAGGTCTCGCGGTGTGCAGGTGCAGAGTTCTAGATGTGAAACGGTACAGACTTATTAAAGTAAGGTTGGATGTTTGGAGGTGCATAGCTGTAGATATGGAGTGATATAGAGTTATTAGAACTTTGAGGTGCGGAGGTGTGGCGGTCTGGACGTGCAGAGGTGCAGACCTGTAAATGTGGAATGATAAAGGGTTCTCACAGTTTCCAAGTGCGGATGTATGGAGGTCTGGAGGTGCAGAGGTGCAACCCGGTCAATGTGAAATGATATAGAGTTATCAGAGCTTGAAGGTGTAGAGCTCTGGAGACGTAGATGTGCAATACTATAGAGTCATTAAGGCAAGCTTGGAGGTGTGGCGCTGCGGAGATGTGGAGGTGCCGAGGGGTGGAGGCGCCGAGGCGTGGAGGTGTGCCGGTGTCGAGGCATGTACGTGCAGAGGCGTAGGTGCAGAGGTGTAGATGTGGAATCGCACGGAGTCATTAAATCAAGGTTGGAGTTGTGGAGGTGCACATGTGCAGAGCTGTAGATTTGGAGTGGTATACAGTTGCAACAACTTGCAGTTGTGGACGTGCAGACGTGCACAGGTGCAGAGATGTAAATGTGGAATCATATAGAGTTATCAGAGCTGGGAGGTGTGGAGGTGTAGATCTGCAATAGTAGTGAGTTATTAAAGGAAACTTGGAGGTTTGGACGTGTGGAGGTGTGGAGGGGTGAAGGGGTGGAGGTGTGGAGGTGTGGAGGTGTGGAGGTGTGGAGGTGCTGAGGTATGCAGGTGCACAGGTGTAGATGTGAAATGGTACGGAGTTATTAAAGTAAGGTTCGAGGTGTGGATGCGCCGAGGTGCAGAGATGTAAACGCAGAATCATTTAGAGTTACCAGAACTTGGAGGTGTGGAAGCGAGCAGGTCCGGAGGTGCAGAGGTGCAAAGCTGTAAATGACTAATGATAAAGAGTTATCAGTGGTTGGAGGTGTCGAGAAGTGGATGTGTGGAACTGCAATCTTATAGAGTTACTAAGGCAAGCTTGGAGGTGTGGAGCTGTGGAGGTGCAGAGGTACAGAGCTGTAAATCTGGAATCATATAGGGTTATCAGAGCCTGGAAGTGTGGAGGTGCGCAGATGGGGAGGTTCTGAGGCGTGCAGGTGCAGAGGCGTAGATGTGGAATGCTACGGTGGTATTCGAGCAAAGTTGGAGGTGTGGAGGTGCAGAGGTGCAGAGCTGTAGACATGGAGTGGTGTAGAGTTATTACAACTTGGGGGTGCAGAGGTGCAGAAGTGTAGAGTTATTAAGCCCAACTTGGAGGTGTGGATGTGCGGGGATGTGGAGGTGCCGATGCGTGGAGATGCGGGGGTGTATACGTGGAATGGTACGGTGTTATTCAAGCAAGCCTTAACGTGTGGAGGCGCAGAGCTGCAGTGCTGTAGATGTAGAGTGGTATAGAGTTATTAGAACTTGGAGATGTGGAGGTGCAGAGGTGTAGAGCTGTTGATGTGGAGTGGTATACAATTACAGCAAGTTGGAGTTGTGGAGGTGCAGAGGTGCAGACATGTAAATGTGGAATCATATAGAGTTATCAGAGCTGGGACGTGTGGAGGTTTGGTGGTCTAGATGTGCAATAGTATAGAGTTATTAAGCCAAGCTTGGAGGTGTGGTGGTGCGGAGATGTAGAGGTGCCGATGTGTGGAGGTGCAGAGGTGTCGATATGGAAGGGTACGGGGCTAATAAAGCTAGGTGTGGAGGTGTGGAGGTGCAGAGCTGTAGATGTGGAGTGGTAGACACTTATAACAACTTCGAGTTCGGGAGGTGCAGAGGTGCAGAGATGCAAATGTGGAATCATATCGAGTTATCAGATCAGGGAGGTGTGGAGGTGTGGAGGTGTAGATGTGCAATAGTAAAGAGTTATGAAGCCAAGCTTGGAGGTGTGGAGGTGCGGGGATGTGGAGGTGCGAGGATGTGGAGGTGCGGGGATGTGGAGGTACAGAGGTGTAGACGTGGAATGATACGGTGTTATTCAAGGAAGGTTGGAGGTGTGGAGGCGCAGAGGTGCAGAGCTGTAGATGTGGATTGGGATAGAGTTATTAGAACTTGGAGGTGTGGAGGTGCAGAGGTGCAGAGCTGTAGATGTGGAGTGGTATAGGGTTATTACAACTTGGAGGTCCGGAGGTGCAGAGGTGCAGAGGTGCAGAGGTGCAGAGCTGTAGATGTGGAGTGGTATACAGTTATAACAAGTTGGAGGTATGGAGGTGCAGAGGTGCAGAGGTGCAGAGGTGCAGAGGTGCAGAGATGTAAGTGTGGAATCATATAGAGTTATCAGAGCTGGGACATGTGGAGGTGTGGAGGTGCGGGGAGGTGGAGGTTCCGATGCGTGG